TCCTTGTCACTTTCCTTGTCCCAGTCTTTCATGGATGCTCCCATCATGAAATCATCACGTAGGATAGTCCAACCTGGACCCTCTTCTGATTTCACTTCAGTCTGAGAATCAAAATATTTCATAGTCAATTCAGTCAAAAAGAAATAAAAAGGCCCAAACTACAAAACAAACTTTTCAACACTTAAGTTGTACAACAGGGGTGAAATCGAGACAAATTATAAATGGACTGATTTTACACACTATGATCATATATGTACAAACGTATAACAAAGAACTATACATTAATATTTTAGCAACCACATAAAAGAAACATGAAAGCAAAATAAAAACTTTTGGAGTAGGGGGAATATAGTGAAATGTAGGTTTGGTGTTAATTTCTAAAATCTTTGACACAGCCAAAATAGACTTACAATATCATTTAACCTTCAGTGATACTTTATTAGAAAATTTTTGGTAAATTATTTCAACACAAATAGAAATTTAACAAAAGCTTTTAACCCAAAGTAAATTAAGGGAGAGAAAAGGAAACTAACTGTGGTACGGTGCTAGATGCCATCTCATTTAACATTTTATAAAAATTTGAACCAAATGTTTGTTATTTAGGTTATGATCTCACTGCCTGACTCAATCACACAGTAGAAGACTAATCGCATGTTAAAATTATAAATAAATGAAGCAGGCAATAAACATAATAGGTGGTCAATTCGTTTCATTTAGTCATAGGATTTATGTAGTACTATGTGAGAGGAGAACCTAAGAATTACAGGCTCTCATTTCGTGGTACAACAGTACCACCTTGTGGTTTTAATTAAGTAATACAATAGATGCAGAACTCCAAGCTCTGAGATTTTTCATTCATTCCACAAATATTTATTGATAATTAAATGTGTATAGAGCACTGTTCATAGGGCTGGAAATGTACTGATGAACAAAGCAAAGTTCCTGTCTTCAGAAGGCTAACAGTCTATGCATATATATTTATCCCACTGACAGAAATACAGAATTTTATAAAAATCTAAGTATGCAAGACAAGAACTCAATAACATTTGATTAGAAAACAGTGTTATCTTTATGGGGTCACTAGCAATGTAAAAAGCAATTTTTAAAAGAAAAGATAGTTACAAGAGATTACTTACTTAACTCTGAAGCTTCCCTTTATTTTAAAAAATATAGCCCTTAAAACACTTGTTCCATTAAAAAACAAAAAAAAAGTAGACACTTACAAACAAGGAAAATGTCCAATTGGCTCGTTCCGTCTTCCTAGGGTCAAGATATTAAGCAGAGCTAGTGCTTAAATTTAAACTGAAGACTGGATAGTACATAAACTTGATCAAAGATTTCAGAAATGACTAAGTCAAATATCAGCATACTTTGCTACTATAAGCAAACCAATAAAAAGAAAACAAAAAAAATTTGCTGCTTAAAACCAGCAATAAATCAGTTCCAGTGCTTTGCATGACACACTGATAAGAGAATAATGAAGTGGAAAGGTAATTTAGAACTTTCCTCATGGAGTATGCTAATAACTCTCCCTCTCTTATTTCTACAATATCAAAACTACACTCCTAAAACTGAAATCCTTCTTCTATTAGATTAAGTTACCTAACTAGATAAAAGGCCATTCACCCTGACTCAACCCACGTTTTACTTGCCAATATCCTTACCTTAAATAAAAGAAAGAGCTATTTACAATGAACAAGGATCCACTTAGAACCAACAAGTATAACACTTCTGTCAAATTAACAATTTAAAGTTTTCAATTAAATTCTAAAAAGTACATAGCCATATCCAAATTACTAACTAGCAATGACCTGTCCTGCCTTTGATACCTGTGTTCACATACGAACATGGGCAATCTTATTGTTAAGCCTCCATGTTTAGACAACTACGCCCAATATGCTATCAACATGATGAACATGTTAGCAACCAAAAGAACTGGGCGATCCCGTATGACTGACCTCGGTGTACGGTGTTTCCATAGGAGAGCTCACTCTGATAGCCAACCTCTGTTGGACTGAGTTAGTTCTCTACCGGGCTGTACCAGAAAAGCTGTAGGCACCAAGAGAATGAAGAAGACAAAGGAGGAAAGGAAGAACATAGACAAAACTTTAAATATTAATACGTAGTTCACAAAGGAAATAAAGTAGACCAAAGGAAAGATTTTGTTAATTAAAATGATGAGATCAACGGTCTCCCATGCTTGTCTTGAAGACGACTACTGTAAACATATGTTTTAGGCAATGACAGCAATAACGGACTAAGTTCAATGTTTGGCTCAATTGTCCAATTTGAAGAAAGTAAATCTTTATAGGGGGACTTTGGTGATATTTTTGGTTTTTGTTGTTAAGGTAACAATACAGTGATTCTTAAAGTGTGACCCCTCCCCAGACCAGCAGAATTAGCGTCAGCATCACTTGGAAACTTGTTAGCAATTCAAAATCTCCAGCCTCATTCCAGACCTACTAAATCATAAACTCCCTGGTGGAACCCAGCCATTCAGCTATTCTGATGCTCCTTAAAGACAGTATTTATTTGCTTTAAATAAACAAATATTTCTTAGTGACAGTTTTCATTCACTGCTATAAGACCAGTACACTTTATGGCTGAGAAGGAAAGATTTTAGAAAGTCTAATATTAGATTGTGGAAAAATCCAAAATTAGACTCAGCAATGTATGCCTTAAATATGGTCATTTGAGCTATCATTACAGTAGCATTTGCACCGTGAAGCAACAATTTTGTGAAAAAAAGACAATAGAAAATTTAGTACAAACAAGTATGGGTCAATATATTTTTAAAAAAGATATTTTACGTAACATCTGCCATGATGGCAACTCAAGAAAGAAAACTGTTTCAAAGGCAGCAGAACGACTCTTTAATTTTAATGCCTACATTTGCTGAAGAAATATGTAGCAAGAAAAGAGGCAGAGGGCCCATGCTAAGGTGGCAGTTTGGACATAAAACAACTAGTCTCGTTCAGTTGCAATACTCAATAAAGCCACAGAAAAGTGATGTGTTGTTTTAAAGATGTAAATCACAAGGACGAGTCATAAGGGACAACAGCAACACAATTTTAGAAGGTGAAGCAGAGAGACTAGAAGAAACCAAGAAGATTCAATTGTCAAGCTGACATTCAATCTCATTTACACTGCAGAATCTGCAAAAAAAAAAAAAAATAGGAACTGGAGTAAGTATCAGGTACTTCAGGAAGTAAGAGTGGAAGGTGAAGAACCAAAATAAAGAGAACTGGGGGTGAAAGTTATGTTTTGGGAAACAAGTAGATCTCTAGCCCACCCTCTTCCCATTCCACATTACCCTGGCAGAAGAATAGAGGTCTCAATTCTGGAGAAGTAACAGGCTAGCACAGGCATGGGTACAATACCAAAAATGAGATTAAGTTACTCATACATACACCAACCAAATAACGAATCCCAGCTCTCTCCTCATAGTGGGCTCCTAAAATGCTGGTAGGCAGACCTTTTTCTTCAGGTAAGAGATCAGGATTACTCTGTAGAAAATCTGAACAATTGCTAATACATAACCCACCTGGAGAACCCCCAACTGAAGCTTAAGGTGGACTTCAACCACATGCTCAGAGCTTCCAAATGCATTTTTAGGACTA